GGACACGCCTCCCGCCGCCCGGCCGCATCGCCCGGCCCGGTCCGCCCCTCCCCGTCCGTGATTGGCCCCACTGGGTGCTCGTCCCTCGGGGGCGGTGCCTTGGCGCGCAGGCGCGGGGCGGGGGCCCAGGCTGCTCTCAGCGGCGATGGCGGCAGGGGGCGTTGTGGGGTCGGTTGTGCCGCCTGGTTTCGCCGCGGCCTTTCTCTGCCCGCTGCGTCCAGCCCTCGGAACAGCAGGTGTGGGAAGTAGCTCCCTGCGAGGCGCTCAGGTCGCTTTACGAGAGCTGTGAGTGCCTTAGGTGGCATCAGGCACAGATTTGCCAGCGCTTTCTCCTTAATTCTTACAAGCCTGGGAGGAAGTTTGGGGTTCACCTAAAACTTTGCCTTCTTAATTAAATTTTTGTTGCTTGTGGGGTTTTGGTCGGCCAGTAAAAGGAGGCAGCAGGTGTAATTAAAGCAGCCTTCCGGTTGAAAATGCCCATTTTTAAAATAAGCGCTGCTGTTCCAAAAACCAGATTGTGCAGCAATGTCTGTCTGACTGGCACTTGCTTTGTGGGAAACTATTGTAAATGGAAAGTGTTAAATACTTCCCCCCCCAAGTCACTGAGCTAGTGACCAAAGGCTAAGCAAAATCAGATCTTTTTACCAAAGAGGCAACATAAGAGGAAGAGTGATGCCAGGTGAGGCTGGTTTTCCCTTATTCCCAAGCCACTTAATGCCCATGTTTTCATGGAGTACTATTTGTAGTGTTATACAGCTAGTACATATGTATGTGAAATTTTTGATTTTGAAGTTAAATGGTAATACTGTTAGCTTAAATTGCGCCACAAATAATTATTTTAATTTTTTTTAACAATCCTCCATGCTAGTTTGTAGAATAAGGATGTATTACTACAGTAATTCGCTCCTGAGGTTTTGACTACAATATTCCTCAAACCTATGCTGGCAGTATATGATGACTCTGAAAAGGTCCTTCTGATGGTTTCCTAGAATGCAGTACTTAGCACAGCAAATTAGCTCCATGTAAAGAGGCCTACAAATGCCTTGTCAATTCAAGAAGCAGAGAACGGTGTTAAGAACTGCAAGAGCATAAGTTATTTATAAGAATGCCAGAGTCAATCTTCTGACAGGAATTAGACATAAAATCAAGTTCATCTGAAGAAGGCAGAGGTACCCCACACACTGTCTGGAAAAGCAAGTCTAAACCAAGAGGTAAAATCGAGGAAGATGCTTAGGGCAGGGAGAGGAGCAGAACAGAGGTCTGGGCTGGATCAGAGATCATGGTAACAAAGGTGCCAAACAGGAGGCTTTAGGACAAAACATAATTCTTAGCAATTGCATTGCACAACAAAAATTAAATTTTAAATACAAGTGGGAGGTTTTGTAACATTCTGCATGGTACATGTATATTCAGTAGCCTCTCTGGAAGTGGACTGGGGCTCATTGCAGTTAACTTCAAACAATAATGATGTAGAAGTTGATTCATTTTTGTTAAGGTCTAATCAATAACTTTGATGCAATTTATCCGAAGAAAGCAATGGAGAGCTTTAGGTCTGTGGGTTAAGCCAGCAATCGCGTAGTATTTCATGGCTGTTTTCCAGGCTCTGCTGGCTTGCTACAGCTGCCCCTGTGGAAGACCGAGAACAGCAGGGTACCATGCAGGAGAGTCTCATGCGCCAAAAAAATGAGCAAAATTTGCCTGCAGTCCAGACCCAGAAGCCTGCCATTAGAGTAGCAAGGCTGTAGGTGCTTTGTAACCAACTTCTGCCTCATACAAGTAAGTATGGGGCATGCTGTGTTAAGTGTTTGCAAGAATAAGCTGTGACAGTTCTGTAAGATACTTACAATTAAACAATAATAAAACTACATGTTTCTTCTTAACCTCTGAGGAAAAGCCTGCAATATGTGTTGTCACAGAAAGGCAACTGGCTCCAAAGTATAATTGAGTCATTTGCTGCTAGGAAAGTTTATCATTGTTATAACTACATTAAACACCAGGGGTCACTACTGGACATAGAATCTGTACTATTATCTCTGAAATCCAATTATTCTGCAGATGTTTACATGCAGAATAAGTGTATTATTATTTCATTAGTGTGTCTATATCATAAGCATTAGCTCTATCCTAAATATTCATAGATGCTATTTTTTGTGATGCAGGCATTTACATGCTGTTGTCAAGTTGTTCATACTTTCCATTACAAGATAGAAAGGAAGATCATTGTGAGATTGGAGTTTTAAATTGGGATCTCAGTTCACAGATGAACACTTTCTCTTGTGTGCCTTGCTGTCTTCTTAAAAGATATGTCAGGAGCTGGATGCTGTCTCCACTTCACTGGTTGAATGCATAAATGGTATCACTGGATCTTCAGGTTTTGAATATGCTACCTACCAAAGCAAATGCAGTAGTTTTAAGCCATTTTTAAGTTCATGGTTCTTCTCTTTTGTCTGTCAAGAAATTCACTAGAACCTGTTCTAGTGGGTATAAACTAAGAAGTATGTAACTTGATACTAAATATTACAGAAAGCAGCTTGTGCATACTCAGAAAGCTCATATGACAGTACATCATCTCTATGTTGTATTCCAGTATTCATTCCAGTATTCATTTTGGTCTAGATACTGCCTGTACTTATCAGTGCAAAAAAGCTAGCTTCTATCAGAGAAACGAAACCCAGACATTCCAGATAGCTGACGCTGAGAAACCAGCCTTGCAGTCTGAAGAATGCCTATGTTAGAGGGCTGAACTTAACTGTAAAATGTACAAAAAATTGAGAGTTGATTGCTCATGGTAGTAATTTAACTGAAGTGGAGAATCAAACCCTAATTAGTAAACTAATCACATTTCAAACTGAAATAACCAGATGACTTTGAGGAGTAAGAGAAACAGGGCAAAATTCAAAATCAGCTAATATCTAACTATTAATACAAGCCTCTGCTGCAGACTGTATGTTCATTAGTTGAAAACAACTGAGAAGTTGAAAATAACTGTGTGCACCCATTGGTCACCAGATGACTGTGAATCATGAATGTAGTGTGGTGATGAAAAAGGCAAGCATGACCGTAGAATGCGTCAGGAGGTATTTAAAATAGGGAGAAGGAAATAATAATGGTATTGTATGAAGTTCTAATAAGCCTTTTCTGAAGTGTATTGTGCTATTTCAGGGTGACTGTACTTGTATTTGGAACAAATGCAAAGACTAGCCTAAAGCTTAAATTGCACTATTGCACCAGATCCCTCTGTGCTACTTGGACCCCTTGGGGCAGGCAGTTCCTGTCCATACTGACTTGAGTAGGAGTAGCTCCCTGACATAGTAGCTATTTCACCACCATTTGTACCAAATCACATCTAAACACTCCTAGCCATGACTTGCCTGACTCGGAGACCGCAGCACGGTGTGCCCCACACAGCGTGGGGGCCCTTAACTGATGCAGAGTCTCAGTTTCAGCTTTGCAGACTTGCCAAGACAAGATACCTACTCCTGCTGTCTTTCCTATTTCTGAAGAAGTGAGCAGTTTGGAGGCACAAGCTCAGGATCATTCACAGCATAAGCAACAGGGCAAGGTGGTACACGGGAGGATGGCTGGAGCATGACATACTAGAGGGAAAAGTCACATTTCCCTTCTGAGGCATTTGCTTTGGCATATGTTTGTGCTTTGTGCCATCTTCCCTCATGTAGAGAGAGTTTGGGCTGAAACACAACCACTGATTTGTTCTCATCCATTTATTTTTCCATCCTCTGGACTTGTCTACATCTAGCAGGCATGGAAAGAATATTCTGGAAGAAAACTAGAGTCCTGGCAAAGTAAGAGTGTGGTTAATGGAGAATGACTTGTCCTCTTGTCCAGACTGGTTGTGTAACTTTGTCCTATATGCTGAATGAGGATGCAGGTACTACCTGGTACCCAGTACCATGCCTGGAAAATCTATCTTAAGTGGGATCCTGCCTGGGAAGTGAAACATATGACCTTAAACAGTGTAGACAAAACCTTGAAATGTCATTTTATGGGGAAGAATGATTTTGTAGCAAAGCCTCTTCTGGAACAGAATATAGTGAAGAGTGAAAAGTCCACAAGGTCTCTCAGTTTTGTGTACTGAGGTCACTACATCACTGAGGTGAACCATACAGGCCTAAGAAACTGTAAGTTTGCCAATTATTGTAGGGTTTTTTTCTTCCAGGATGGGAGGAAGAAGGGGTGAAGGCAGGGGCAGATGGTTAAGTATATGGCATTTTAAAAGTGTTGCGGTAGTAGTCAGTCCCAATGAGGAAAGCGATGGGAAGCAGGACCATGCTGAAGGCTGTGTACAGGAAGTCATCAGAACAAAGAGTTGACAGGGCATTCCTACACATATTACTGCAGTTGCAGGTACTGTGACTTAGTGGTTAGTGAGCCAAGATTCAGTGTAAGGTGCTAGTTTGTTTTTGGATCTCTGGCTCTGGCAGTCTGTAACATGTTAGAAGCCCTAGACCCTATTGTGCAGTTACTTGTGAGTCAGAATGGGGTAAGGCCAGAGATGGTGGGAGTCATCTAGAAATTTTGTTGTGCTTTGGATCTACATAATTGTGGTGCTCATTTACTGCTGCAGAGGGTTTCCCATTGTAAGGGATAGTATATATCCTAAGCACACATTTACATGTCCTCTCTTCCTCTACCCCTTTAACATTCAAATCAAAACATCCATTAAAGCTGTGCTTCTAGTGTATGCTACATCATTCTTGATCAGCTTTACCTATGTTGTGCTTCTTCAGGTGAGCAGAGGATGCATCTTGGTCCAGCCTGGAAATAGAGCCAGTTTCTCAGGTCTCTGGGTCTGTAGCCTGGGAGTCTGAGCTGGTGATCTGACTCTGACAATGTGCATGTGAAAGCCCAGTCCACGCTGCACAAGACAGTGAACCATCAGAGGCCCAGCAGTTGCTCCTAGTAATATTGGTAAGTCTGCAGACCTCCTCCAAACACTGCCTTCTGTCCCTGGCCTGAAGAGTAGGCAGCTTCTCTTCATTTCATTTATTTATTTCAAGCAGCATTGTTTGCTGGTTCTTATAAAGGTAGCCTGAACCAGTGGTGTTTCCACTGGCAAATTTCCTCATATCACTGCAGGGAAATTTCCCCAGAAGCAAAGCTATGCCCATAACCAAAGGCACAGCCCTACAAACACTTATCAGGGCATTTCTCTCTGCTCTCACCACACTTTGTGAGCAATGCATGCAAATGAGCAGGCTGATTCACTGATCTAAAGATGTATATTATGGTGTGTCACAGATTATGCTGAATAATGAGGACTGAGGAACAGGGTAGAATGCAAAGCTGAAATGTTTAATAGCCATAGGGAGTATCCCTGGGTACTGATTGGTGTGAGAAAGATCTGGCCCAATTTATGTCTGTGTTGCCTAAGTAGGATTGGAATTCCACTCCCATTTGTGCTCAGGTTTCTCTTCTCCAGCAGCACTTTGACTTGCTTCAGTGCAGTCATGTGTGAGCAAAGATAGATAGATAGATACATACATACATACATAGATGATAGATAGATAGATAGATAGATAGATAGATAGATAGATAGATAGATGAGATAAATGATAGATCGATAGATGATAGGTAGATATGAAATGTTCATGAACCTTAGTGTAAAACCAGGTATGTCAGCTCAGTAGTAGAGACACAGGCAAAGTTAATCACGGAAAGGATCAGTCTGTTAAGAGACTACAAAAATGTGACCCATTTTAACAAAAATGTACATGTACAAGACACCTTCCATTCAGGCTAGCTGCTCTGCAAAGGGGTGATGGTTAATTATACACTTAGCACAGACCATCAGTCACCAAGGCGGTTGTTTTACACTATTTGTGTGTTATTTCTTTTTAAGAATATCTTCAGTTCAGGAAAAACAACTTAGAAGAAGTTAACTTTCCAGTAAGGCCTGAAAGGAGCCTGTAAGGGTCAGGACCTTGGAAAAGAGAAGAGGAAATCTGAGCTTTTCAAGAGAAATTTTGTTAACATACGTGAGTTTCAATGCTGACCATTATAGCTACTCACAATTTTTTATCAGGACACTCAAAAGAGCAATTTCCATTCTGCACTTCAGCTTCTAGCAGCCTACTTCTGCATAAATGCAATTAATCCGTCTCCCAACCTTCCTGTTTCTCTACAGGTTTATTTCAGTGGTCATTCAAAGACATTAGAGCTACTGTAGAACAAAAGTCCCCAAAAGTTTCTCTCTCAGCAAAGACCAAGCCTACAGCTTAGAAAGTTAAAATTAAAGGATGTAAAATCAAAATTTATTTCAGAGTTCTCATAGCACCTTATGTGTAACTTTTACTTGTGTGTAACTTCCACAGGCATAATAAAATATTAATGTTATGATTTGTACCAGGATGCATAGCAGGTTTTTCTAGCTTCACAGAGTTCAAGAAGGAAACCATTAGAGCTTCTAGTCAGGATCATAAACCCAGTGCAGTAGGAGAATTATTTTTTAGGTTAGCTTAGTCAGACATCGAAGTAGGACCTATTTTTACTGTTTAGCATGAAGAGATGCCTTCTGTAAGTAGGGGTTAAGGTGAAGTGGAACATCCACAAGCATAACATCTCACTTCCTTAAAAAAAAAAACCCTACTGGAGAATACGGTTACTCTACATGCCCTTTTCTTGCCTTAGCATATTGCTAATGTTGCATTGTACTTGCATGCTTGTGTGTGGGAAGAAGTTCACTGCAGGCAGGGAAGGAAAATGAAGCTATCTGTGCCCTGTCTCATTGTATGTCTGTATCTTGATCCAGCCAGCCCAGAGTTTCCTAATAACTTCCATCCCACTAACAAGGAGAGATCTCAGTTTCCTTTCCCTTTAAAAATACAAATACACTCAGGGAGCTGCTGGCCTATATTACTTCATCAAATTCTTGTCCTGTCCTACAGAACGCAGTTAAGCTAAGTGAGCCTTTGCTACAGAATCCTAAACATTTGCATGGGTTCAGAAGGTGATGGGTGCATTCATAGAAGAGTAGATCAACACACACTAAATGCAAGCCACAAGGTCCCAGAGCCACAAGCTGCTGGAGTCTGGGAGTATATTCTGCAGAAGCAGTGGTATGTTCTCACACTCATCTTTAGGGCTCCCTTCTTTGGCCCTGGGAGAGAGACAGGATACTGAGCTGGATGGGCTTTTGGTCTGACCAAGTTCTTATGTTTTTATTTTCTTCCTGGTCAAGTGAATAATAAAAATCAGTAAGCTTAGAATTATAAAGCTTAAAGATTCCATAAAATCACTTCATATTTTAATTACACAAAATCCCTGACCCCAGAGGTATATCTGTGAACTGTAGGAGGATACAAATTGCAGGTGACAGAGTTAAGGCTTACTAGTCCATACTGTTGATGGGATAAATTTGTAATGTGGTATTGCACGTGTCAGCAAAGAAAGCAATACTACTGGGATTTATTTTTGCTGTGAGGACTGAGATAGATGCATCTATCAATATTCGGGGGATAGTTGAAAGTATTTGAAACCCAAGGCTTCAAAAACAAGGAGAAAACTGATAAAGGTAAGAGATTTCTAGAAAAAGGTGTCATCCTTGATATACGCATACGCGCACACACAGATGAGAAAAAAATGATCAGTTTTGGTATACTGCAGAGTCAAAGAATGACCCAGATTGATCTAAACTGTCTCTTAGCGTTTACTATTTTTCTTTTATTCTTCAATAAGCAGACAGACTGAAAGGTCAGGAGTTTTTAACTATGTCTTCTCTTTGAGTATTTCAGTAAAGTACAGAATCATTCTGCTTCAACTCAAGAGTTACTCCTAACTTTATCTTATTTAATCATTACTTTTAAAGCAGCCAAAAGCTTCCATTTTGTTTGCTTATTAAAATAATCGATTATTTGATTATTTTTGTGGAATTAATTTTGACTTGTAGACCATAAATGAATTCAAGATGATGTAGCAATGATAATGTTTTCTGATTTACTTTAGAAAAAAACATGTAATTCATTTAGATTTAGACTAATGATAGAAAATTACAAATTTAGGTGTCAGTATGAATGCATTTGATGTAATAATTTACTACTTTGATAACATTTTAATCAGGAAGATTTCTTACCTTTGGGACTATCTTGTCAAAATAAGTCATGACCAGCATTTCCCTTTCTTCCTTTTCCCCCTATGTGCTTTAACCACACTTTCAAAATCACCAAAAGCTTTCTGAATAACACTGTCCTTGAATGTGAAAGAGTGTTTATTATTTAGAGTGACAGTCAATGACTTTTTGTGAGCAGCGCTGAGAGTTCTTGGCTTCACCTTAATTTTAAAACTTCACAGTTTTTCAGAAGATGGAATAGCTGTTTTCTGTCCAACCCTAAACAATGAGCTTCATTAATTCAAGCAGATGAAATCTCTGATGCTGCTTTGTTAGTGGCATCCCTCGTTACTGAAATATAATTCAGCAAGTTGAACGAGAGACTATTTCTGACATGAGCACTATCTATGAAGGGAAAAGATTTTCCTGAATTAGAGATAATTCTTTTTTGTGAGTAGCACATGCTAGTTTATTAACAGTTTCACTATCAACATTACAAAATATTGCAGGTAAAAAAAAAAACAAACAGAACCCAACCCTGGAAGATATATATGTAATGACTTATACATACAAGCCAATCAAACATCTTTAAAGGAATTTAGGGGAACATCCTTTAAAAAAAATTTTAAAAACAACAACAAAAAATACCCCGAACATTACAACAACAAAACCCCTGCAAATTTTATCACCAAAGAAGAAATGTGTGTGAAAAGCCCTAAATGTAGTAGAACTAATCTATCTAAGGAGATCCACTGGGAATAATTGGTATATTTAGATATTATAATTAACAATTTTATCACTTTTAGGCATCCTTAAAATTATGTTTGCATTATTTCACATTCTGCTTTATAACTCTTAAAAGTATGACTTAAATTGAAAAAAAAATTAACATACACAAAATATTAGTTCTTCAACTAATCTATATAAGCAAATTCTTTAATATCTAGTCATCTACTTCAGTGAAGGCAATCATGCGGTGTTTCCCTAGAGAACAGATCATTAGAAATAAGTACTTTCAAAGTACTTCTCCCTGTGGTAAAATTACCACACCTGATTTCCCCATAAGCAAAATTTTCTATATCTTATGTCAAAGAAGAGCAAACTTGGCTATTTGAACAGCAAATGTTAACATGCAGAATTATCCCATCTGGTTTCTCAAGTAATGCAAATTTGAAGTGATGACCACATACCTTTTTTATTGTGGCAATCTTAGTAACCACTGAACTTGAGTTCTGAGCTACGATTATTTGAAGTTTGAGAACTCCTCAGTGTTCACAGCTTTATCCTGTCCTGCTACCCTTCTCCACGCATAGGGATTCACACTGCATACCAGTGACAGACTTTTGTCATATCTATCACAGTATTGTTTCCATTTCGCTTTTAAGTTGTATATTTCTGTGCTGTGTGAAACAACTGTTGTGTTTTATTATACCCTCAAATGATTCATATGGCTTTGTCAAATGGAGAAAACATTACAGATTGAAATGTGGAAGATAACTGTAGTAGGTTTTCAAAATTTTTTTCCCAGTTTGTCACAGCTCATGGGTGTGACAGTTTGGGTGATGCTTGTGTCATCTTTCTCCACACATTTTATCTATAAAAACCTACAGCTGGACTGTTCTGTCATATGTAAACATGCTTTTAAAGGGAACATTTTAGCTTAACTTTTACTATAATCAGTATTCGAAATCCCTACTGACTGGTAAATGTGATTCCTAGAAACAGTGGGGGAAAACCATTCATTCTTTGGGTGTTCCTTGACTAAAATTTCCCTTCCCTAAATGTATGGTAAGTTTAAGGCAGAGGGCTTCTTTCTCAGTCTTTGCTGAATGGAACGTAAGAGCTATTGTATTTAAAGAGGTACGTGCTATTACCCTGGATTCTCATGAGAGAAAGGGAGAGGAAGGGAGGAGACAGAGGAACCTCTAATAGGTTATTTTTTACATTTAGAACTGTAGCCACACATTAGTCCCTGGTGCTACCCCATTTATCTAGGATAGAAGGTGAAGTATAACAGAGGCTAAAGAAAGTAGGTCAGAGCACGTGAGCTTGTATGTGCCTGCCAAAGAAGGCTCTGTAGAGATGAAGATACTGAAAAATGTGGGGCCAACAGAAGTCCCACAATTTTTCTGTGTGCAGGACCACCTTGATAGGTCCTGTCTGACTAGCTAGCATCTCTATTCCAGCACAATGACACACAACCCTATTCCATTTTCAAAGAGGGCAGAGATCATTCTTTACAAACTGATCACTTGTGGTTTATTCTGGTCAGTGGGCTGTTAGCATAGGCTAGCTCATCTTTATGATAGAGATTTGCAAGTCCATTAGGCATTCTGTCTCTATTTAGTGGCCTCACAGACATCTCAGGGATCACTGTTGGTACTTCTTGACTCTTCTGCCTGTAAGGAAACTGCAGATAAAATGCCCTTTCTAATCTAGGTGGACTCCTAATTCAGTGCCCTTTCTGATTTCAGTATTTACCAGGATGTTTTTAAAGCTGGTGATGTAACCCCTGCCTAGAAACCTAATTTAAGGTCTACACCCATATCAGTTCAAGACCTTAATTTAGTTGGTTGACTCATTCTGACAGCTCTCCTAAAGTTTGTTTGATGGCCAGCAAGAAAACTCTTTAATCCCTTTGCTCCATGGTTTCTGCAGGAGTTAACTGTAATCCTAACTCTGAAACTATACAATTGGATCTAACCTACAGTCTTAATTCCACCTCTGTTCTAAAAGTAATCAGTACTTTAGACTGAAACAAGCCAAATCTTAGCCCACCAATACTTTCCAAGCTCACTCTGTTTAGCCATGCTGATAGCTCACATGCAATCCATAGCCACCAGGCTGACATTGGGTTTGCCAGTTAAGCCTTACTGGTTAGTCATGGACCTGGGGCATGCTGAGAAAGCTAGCTCTCAAATGATGATAACAGCCTGCTTCTCCACTGATGAAGGCTCATTCGCATAATGTGGGACTAGAAGTTCTGGAGCAGGCTCGTCATGCTTGTTCCTCTGGTACGAGCGGAAAAGCTCGTGCATTCTCAAACTGGCAGGTTTCTGCAGTGCATGAGAGAAGAGCTGCTATAGTATTCATTATCTGTTTCAAACTGGCTTTGCACACCTCTTTTATGTCCTCCCTATCCAATGTTCATGTTCTTTTCTTTTAAGTTCAAAGGCCTACTATCTCTGAGGAACTGCTCTATATCATATACCACCTTGGCCAGAGGGACTTAGAGACGCACACAAAATTCAACAGGGAGCTGGAACACATATGAGCTAGCATGTTAGTGAAAGAATAGATTAAAATAATGCCCAAATACCTTTAAAGAGAGGGAAAAAAGAGAAGATGGGAAATGGCAGACATGTCGGCTTTATGACAGATTAAAAATGAAAAAAGGTTTGGAATCATCAAGAAAATTACAGATTCAAATGTAATAAATCTGTCAGCTTGCTTCAGATAGAAAGATGTGTCCTTTGAACCTGTTGCTCCTTCAGATAAGATTAGAAGTCTGTCTGATAAAGGCAACTGTGTTTGTTCAATTCTATTTATTATTTTTATAGGTGATCTAAACAAGGGTATATACCCTTTGTATGGTAAAGTTTTC